GACAACTGACTCATATTTATGACGGTTTCAGTGTCCCGAGGTCACGTGATCCTATTTTGTGATTTTCTGACAAGCAAAGTCAATGGGGAAGCCAAATTCACTTAACAAACATATTACTAACTTAACTGTAGTGATTTACTTAACAACAGTGGCAAAAAGGTCGTAAAATAAGGCAAAACTCACTTAACAACTGTCTTATTTAGCAACAGAAATTTTGGGCTCAATTGAGTCATAAATCCAGGAGCACCTGTAATCTCAATTCTTGAGATGCTAAATTGCTAAATTGGCTACCAATAAATTTCCAAATCAATAAAATGCAGCTCCAAGATATACCATTTACTGCTAGGACTCAGCCACTTACTTACAAAAGATTTTTAAAAGGTCTCCTCCTTGTGAGGTTCATGGAGTATGGACCCACAACTAGCCTTGTCGGGCCCTCTCCTCTTGGATAGTCCTGCCTAAATATCACCAAAAAGAGTTAAGACCATCTTGACTGAGTGTGCTTTTGGCTCTTCATTGTTACTGATGCCTTGTTACATCTTTTACATTTTCCTTATTTTTTGTACTGTGTGTTTTATCTTATATTTATATTTATCTTTATTATCTTATTACTCACCCAGAAGTTTTTAGGACCAGATAGAAATAAAATAAATATAGGATCTCCCCCCCCCCCGTGACCATTTAATCTCCTGGGCCTTTTCTATGACATTCAGCACCACTGTGGTATTCTCTACATAAAAAGGTTAACCAAATTTTATCTTAATTTCATTTCAGGCAACCTGTCTAAAATTTGTCTATTCCAACAGGACCTTAGAATGATTATAATATCAATATGAATTCATTCCACCCCTTGTTGGTCTTCCCTTATCTTCAATTTTATTCATAAGATATGGAACTGAAGACCATGAAATTGATCCTCTCCTTGAAGAACCTTTTTAAAACCAAACTGTGATTCATAAACAATGATAGATGCCAAGAACAAAATTTGCTTATAAGGTGATTACTTGTTTCCTGGGATTGCTAGAAATGTGGGTTTTTAAGCATTCTTTATCTTGAAGACAAACTTTATGAGTTGGAATTAGCACTCCCCAAGAACAAATATTATTCAAAGAAAAGAATCTTTGACCTCTCTCTTCATATCCTTCATCCCTTTATGGATTTTGCCCCACTGCACTTGTTTTGCACATTCCACAGACAAGACTGTCCCAACATATACACATATGATCTGTCTATGTTTGTTTCCTTAGCATATCTCAGGAACTGAACGGAAGAAGAGACATCTATTTTGTTTGTCACTCACAAAACATCTCTATTCACAGTTGAGTCATAGCAAAGCAATATGGGAAGATTATGAAGTCCATGTGTAAAGTGATAGCAGTAGCAAAGAGAGAGCTATGGTTCAGGCTATTACAATTCAGTTCAATTCAGTTCCTTTGCATGCTTACTCAGAAATAAGTAGCTTAAGATAAGATAACCTTTATTGTCATTTTTTTACTGTGGGCACAATGGCACACATCAAAAATGAAATTTAGTTGCCCGCTCTCAAAGTGAAACACATACATGACACACACCTAAACATATTATGTACAACATATGTATAGACTCACACCCCTACATATGTATAACAAATAAATATTAAATACTGTCCATCTTGAATATATAACAGAAGGAGGAAGCTTGAGAGTTAGAAAAATACTTGAGAAATACTGCTTGCTAAATAAATTAGGAAATACTGCTTGCTAAATAAGATTCTACTGAATTGCACCTTGGCCGAATAAAACTGCAGTTCCAATATGCATTTATTGTAATTAGGAGCCTATCCTACTCGGCTTAGCTGAAAGCATTACAAACCACCCCAAGTTCAGCAGGATGCAGTCTTGCATACCTCTACTTAAGATCAAGCTGTACAATTTAAGGCTTGCACATTTAGGTTTATTTTTATCTCACCTATCAAGCAATGTTTGCCATTGGAGTCCTTCAAAATAGTTTACATAATAAAAGCAGGTACAACCCAATGGCTGTAAAATAAAGAAAAAAATATTTTTAAAAGACAGACAGTGGGTAGTGTGAACTCCCTCCCTGACAATTAAAATACAAGGAAGGAAGGATACTGGCGCTCCATTAAAAGAGAGAACGGAGAGAAATCACTGAATGGCTTGCTTTGAGTAGACCACATAGGATTTTCACAATATGACAACTGTTAAAAAGGCCCTGATTCCTCACTGCCAGCTATATTTTCAAGGGTAGCATGTCACAGAAAGATCCCAGTATGTGATATAGGTTTATTATAGGATGAAGACAGCTCTTCAAACACTATGGTTTTAAAATATAAAGTAGCTTTTTTTAATTCAGAGCAAGTTAGCAGCCAATGTAGACCAAGTGAGTACCCAATCCAAATTGGCCCTTGATATTAAACCAGTAATGTCCACTTATTGTTCCAGGGTATTTATATGATGGAGTCTAGCTGAAGGTCACCAAAGCATGCATAACAGGGACAGATTAGTCCACTTTACCTACAATTGTTAAATTGATTTGTGAAACAATGTCATCAAAGCAAAAAGTAAAAACCACATTTATGGGTTTGTGTGGACTTTTCTGGAGTAAATATTAGCCTTTTCCCATAATCGTAATTTTTGTGGTTTAGGCTGATTCCGTATTAAGAATAAGACTGTTCACACAATGCCTCAAACCACAAATTGCCAAACAAAGCTCAACCCTATCAAGCACCCAGTCTGTGTGATTAATCTATTGTTGTGCAAATCCAGACTATTTATTGAGCAAACTATGTTTAGATTAACCATGAGTTGGCATATTATCTGAATATAGTCATAATAAACATTTTTTATTTTATTCTGCATTTAAATCTTATAACCGACACCTTGAAGGTGTATTTTTCTCCCCAATTAAATTCCTTAATATAATATACTATAAGCTTTATTACAAACTTAGGCCAGCATATAATGCAACCATATGTGTTTATTGCAAATAAATCCTATCAATGTTAGCAAGTCTTGTTTTTAAACACAGGTAAGTTTGTACTCTCATTAGGCAAGTAACGTTATTTTATTTTTAAAAAGGTAACTTAATGGCATCTCACATTTAAGCCTTGTTCTCTTTACATGCCTTTTGCTTCAAATGACATTTTAATATCTGTTGACCAGATTTTAAACTTGGCACAGATGATGTACAGATGCCAGATTCTTCTTGCATGTGTCAATAACTTGGATCACTGCATGAAATCTTTTTGTTTTTCTGCCCCAGAAACAAATACATTGCGCAGTGAGATTCTTCCTTGTGTATTTATGATAATCTTGCCTTATCTCTTCGGGTTTATTGGAGTAATAGCACAATCCTAGACATGTTTGATCTTTTAAAATCCTGCTTTTATTATTTTAGAAGTAACTCAAGGTGGCAAACATACCTAACATTCCTATTTTCCCCGCAACAACAACGCTTGAGGTGGACCAGGCTGAGAGAGAGAGGGACTGGCCCAAATGTACCCAACTATTTTTCATGAGTTAAGCAGGACTAGAACTCACAATCTCCTGATTTCTAGCCTGGGACCTTAACCACTAGACCTGAGGTCCCCAACCTTTTGGGCACCAGGGACCAGTTACATGGAGAAAGTTTTTTCCGCAGACTGGAGAGTGCGTGGTTTTGGTGCTGCCTGCATCCTGTGGATGGGGCTTTGCTTGTTTGTGTGGCCCGGTTGCTGGCATGACGTGGCCCGGTACTGGTCCATGGACCGGAGGTTGGGGACCTCTGCACTAGACCAAACTGGCTCTCTGTTATTTTGTTAACTCTGCATACATTTGCAAACATTTTGGTTTCATACTACAGTATCCTTTCAAAGGCAGAATGAAAGTCTTACTGAATATAATTAGTCTTGTTTCTGAATTATGTTTCATTTACAAACCTGAAAGCTTGCACTCTTGAAAGTATTACCCCAAATTACAGTTGCAATCCAAGATATGCATATTAAAGTGTAAGTTCATTGTGCTAAATGGACCTGCATATTGAATAATTCCACATATTATTTTCCATTAAGATTTTAAGAGTACTCTAGATTTTTAAAAAAATAAATTAGAGTGACTCTGGTATCTGGTGGGGAACCAGCTTGATTTGCTCCACATAACTGTTTTCCTTGATCTTTGAGGAGTTTGTCCAGCACATTCCCCCTTGGTAGTTTAAGTATGCAAGACTGCTTGCAGAATTAATCATGAGGGTGCCACATCTTTTCTTTTTGATACATTTTGCCAGTTAAATGAGATTCAGTATGCTTAATACACAATGAACCCATGTAGATGTCACTCATAATAATAATAATAATAATAATAATAATAAAGTTGGAAGGGACCTTGGAGGTCATCGAGTCGAACCCCCTGCTCAGGCAGGAAACCCTACACCATTTTGGACAAATGGCTGTCCAGTCTCTTCTTAAAAACTTCCAGTGTTGGAGCATTCACCGCTTGACAAAGACATTTTGGTGGTATTAGAAATTATGTGCTGAATTTATAATCAGAGTGTTAGATCCTTTGAATAGCAATAGTACAAAAGTTGGACTGTATTTTATTTATTCATTGGATTTATTTCCAACACCATCACCACCAGTTCTATGGAGAGCTCCAGGCAATTTGCATCAGTAGGTCTATTACTTTTATCTCCACAACAACCAGGTGAGGTAGGTTGACTAAGAAACAATAATTGATCTAAAGTCCCGATAAAGGAGTATATTTGTAGCTCAGGTTGAAATGAGGGGTCCTTGGTGCTCTCTGAGCTTGGTTTTCTTGCAGACGTTTCATTACCCTAACTAGGTAACATGCAAGAAAATAACATGCAAGCACCAAGTCTAAAGTCTTCCACTGAACTCCAGGTTAAAAATGTTCCTATCCAACATTTTAACTTATTACATTCTAAATCCATCAGTCTTCCAGGCTGTGACTATGAATTCCCTTCTCTCCCGTTATTTTTTCAGGATTTAAAAAAAAAATAACCATAAGCAAAGCCTTCTTAAATTACATGGAGGATCCGCTTCTTTTATTTCGGTAGAATAGCTCACTAGGCCAAAGAGACTAAGCGAGGACTAACTTTCAGCGGACCTGCCCCGCAGAAGCAAACAAACACCCCATTCCCTCCGCACCAGCATTCAGGGTACATGTGAACGCGCGCTCGAGAGGGAGCCAGTCCTTAAAGAGATAAACGATCAGGATGGGAACTACATTTCCCACGAGCCCAGGCGGGCTGCCTTTTCCCCCATTGGTGCAGACGGTCGGAGGGGTGATCCCTAACTAGAGAGAACTCCGCCTACTCCGACGTGATTGGCTGCAGGGCGGGTGCCGACGCTTCCTCGGAACGACCTTAGCGCCTCCCTGTCGCTTCTCGACAGTATGAAAGAAGCGGCTGGCGAGACGCGTACAGTTGAGTTCTTTCCCCGCTGGCCGGGATGCCGCTTTAGCGGGCGCCTTCCGACGAGAGAGTTTGACTCCGGCCCGCCGGCAGCCGTCTGAGCGTTCTAGAATCCCGATGCACCTGGACGTTCTAGAACGCGGCAACTTTCGGACGTTCTCTCGGCTTTGACGCTCGTCCTCCTCCCCACCCCGAGGGAGCTAATTACGCCGGAGCGGCCCCCCTGTTTGGGGAAGAGAAGAGAAGGGACGAGAGGCAGCCCTCCGCCCGCCCGCCGGTTCTCTCTCTCTCTCTCTCTCCCGTTGCCTGCCCCGATCGCGTTAAACGACACCATGATCGTCGCCGACTCGGAGAGTTGCGAGCCCGCCGGAGTCGAAGGCTATTTGCCCTGCGAAGACTGCGAAAGTTTGAGGCGCAAGAAGGTAAAGTAAGAGAATGAAGATGCGCCCCGCGCCTTCTCGCTTTTGCTTCTGTAGTCTCCGGCTGCGATCCGGATCTCCCTCCCTCTCTCTCTCTCTCTCTCTCTCTGCCCCCCCCCCCGGCCGCCTTCTTTGCCATTTTCGGGGGAATGGGCGAGGGCGGGGGCGTGCGCTCCAGTTGTTGCTGCTCCTGCTGCAGAATTGCGTAAAGGGCTGGTAGCGCCGGTGTCCTTTTGAAGAACATGTATCAGAATGTCGTTGCATCAGCCGGAGAATGGAGAGTAGGAAAAAAGAGCTGCGGGGAAGGGGGGGTGAGAAAAGGGGGTGGGGGAAAAGGCTGGGAATACAAGCAGGCGGGCGCTGCAGTGATCCAACTCGCTGGGAGCGGACCCCCCACGGCTAGAGAAGCTCTTCCTTCCATTGCTCCGGGTGGCAAAGAATTAAGCCGTGATGAGCGGTTGGCTGGCAAAGGTTTCGCCAGCCGCCCGGGTCTCCTGGGGGGGATGAGAAACCCGCTCGCCCCGGCTCCTATTTTCCCTCCACGAATGTTGGGGCTTCTTAAATTGCACTTTCTTCGGGACTAGAATCTTTCTTCTTCCAGTTCTGCGCCACAAACCCCTCCCCCCCGTCGCTTATCCATCTTCCCCACCAAATGAAAGCCCGTCGCCCTCCCCCCACCACCCCGATTCCGAATCAAAATCGGCTCTTTTGCCTGCGGGAAGCTGGATCTGGGTCGGTCGATGTGGGGTGATCAGAGACCGAGCGGCGTAGCGAATGGTTTTAGCGCGTAGCTGCTGAAGGACGCCAGAAGTTCCTCTTTGGGTGGGTGTAAGTGGGCGATCGCTGGTCCTACAAGCTCGGGCATGTCCGACACGCGGACCGAGGGGTGTGTGTGCGCGCGCGCTCTCTCTACATACAGCGTTTATAAACACGAGAGAAGACCAGCCCCGGCGAGCTTTTTCCGACGCCGCGCTGCGCCTCTGCCCTTGGGCGGCCAATTTGCTTGGCTTGTGTAAGGCACGCTCCCCGAAATGGCTTTGTTCACACGAATCCTGCTTTAGAACTCCGCACCGAGTGTAGTGAGTCTTCACTTTGGTTAGTTGCTCATTGTTTAAATGTGTTATGTGCGAACCCAGGCCCAGTGATGAGTTTACAGTTTGATAGGATTGTGGAAACCCAGATGTTGGATTTTATTTAATCCTTGTTCATTGGGTTTCAATTTTATTTTATTTTTTTTCATCTTTTTGTAAGCTGCCCAGAATCACTTCAGTAGTGAGACGGGTGGCATGTAAATTAAATAAATAAAGGAGAAATCCAGCGAGTAGATCAAGGGGGTGTTTAAACAGCTCCTAAGATGGTAGGTATTCATTTAAACTGCTGTGTCAGCTAAGTTTCAGAGCGAAGCTTTCAAGCGATGATACAACCAGGTAACTTAATTGAGGTCCTTCAATCAGTGCTTTTAAAGGAAGCCACTTGTCCATTCAATTATGAAATATGCAACTGGCTTTAAGAACATTGGATATCTTGTCCTTTTTTTAAAAAAAAGTATTTTTGTCCTTATGTTTTATACTTTACTGCAGAAGTAGGATGAAATGTTAACGAAATGTCATATCGTAAACTTGTGCATCCAAGCAGCCCTTTGTGGAAGTAAGGAAAGAGGGTCTGACCCACTGTTAGGCCTGGTATCTTTATATTGACTTGGACAATAATCTGTTACTCTTTGGATATTTGTAACACCTCCCCTCCCAAGGCCCAGATTTAACAGCGTGGCTCTTTTCTCAGCAAGTTTGAAAAAAAGAATATTAAAGAGTAGCAGGCAGCCCCTCCCCAAATTAAGTGTACGCTTATGAGCCAATAGTAACAGTAATAGTAAAGAAGGAAATATTCAGAATTTTTTGTGCCAATTACCAAGGGGCTTTGCTTGGTCTCAGTCCCCTCCTGTGTAAGAGCTGAGAAGTGTGGTTGACTCTTCTTTGGTACTTGTGCAACTGAGCGGCACACCCCAAGGATTGTGGCTTGACCCATTAGGCCCCTAGGAAGGGAGCCCTGGGCATTCTCCATCCCCCTTTTTCAGGCTCCAAAGGGATGGAGAAGCTTCTGGGAAGCTCTCCCCATCCCCACACAGCTGTAGTCACAGACTGGGGGCTCTTAATTTCATATCTCCCCCTCCCCTGTTGCTCTACACAGTATTTATATACAGGTAGTCCTTGACGTACAACCACAACTGAGCCCAAAATTTCTGTTGTTAAGTGAGACAGTGAGTTTTGCCCCATTTTACGACCTTTGCCACAGTTGTTAAGTGAATCTCTGCCGCTGATAAGTTAGTAACCTGGTTGTTACGTGAATCTCGCTTTCCCATGGACTTTGCTTGTCAGAAGGTCACAAAAGTTGATCACATGACCTTAGGACACAGCAACCGTCATAGGTATGAATCAATTGCCAAGTGTCTGAATTTTGATCACATGACCACGGGGATGCTTCAAAGCTTGTAACTATGAAAAATTGTCATGTGTCACTTTTTTCAGTGCCATTGTAACTTTGAATGGTCACTAAATGAACTGTTGTAAGTCGAGGACCACCTGTATTAAATGGACAGCTTGCTTTTCCTTTGATAGCTTCAGACAGTGCAGTGTTGAGTTTGTTACAACAGTAGCAATCAGGAGAGAGACTGTTTGAAGAAAACATGAGTGATCCAAACTTACTCAGTGAGATCCAGAAACTTACCGTTTTGGTCCAGCACTTTTAACAAATACACAAAACTGCCTCCCTTTGATTGAATTGAATACATAGTTGTTTTTGTTGCTTCTCTTTGTGTGCCAAGGTAGGAAGATTATATAAATAGCTTTAGCCCCAAATTTTGGCTGTTCTCCCTGAATAATTTCACTTCTTTCCTATCTTTTTCTATCTGGCTTGACAGAATCATGGGTTCACACAAAATAATTAGTCTGGTTTGTTAAGCCATTTTCTGGCTTTCCTGGGCATAGAAGCATAAATCAACTAGTTATTCTGTGTTATACTATATGCTATCATGGGTAATACAATCAACCAAGATTATCTCTAATGAAACTTTACATTTGTGCATGCAGTTGCTGAGTTGATCGATGATTTGGCAAAGTGTGTGCTGTGTGACCCCAGCCAACAAATACAAGAGTTAAAATCATACACACATACTGGTGGGTTTTTTTTTTTTTTTTCAGCAGTTGCGTCAGGACAGATGCAGTTGTATTAGCAGGCCTGGAGATTGGGAGGTGTGGTTATGTTGACTTGGGATAGATGGGTGTTTTTACCCTGACTGCTATTTCTATGCATGTTGTTTTTCTGTTTTTCTCAGTGTGGTTTTTTTTTTCAATGTTTTTATATTTTCTTTGAATATTCACTGCTCAGAGTCATAATTTTGAGACTGGCGACCATACAAACTGAGTAAGTAAATAGTGTGATTGGTATCATGTATGTCATGATGTCATCTTATTTATTATGAAATTTATTTGCCATCCATCTCATATCCAACGATATACGATGCAAATTACTAAATTTGCATAGCTTGTGTCAGTGCCTGTAACGTCACTCTCCAAAGCAGACGCTTGTGAGGAACAGGAAAGTTGGAAACTGTAATTCTGCATAATCTGGAGACAGAGTTTCAAAAGGATATCGCTTTGTAGCTGGGTTGATGGTTGTTTGTGACTGGATATGGACTCTTATATGAACCGAGCGGTCACAATTTGCAAATCATAGTTTAGGGCTTAATTTTTAGGAGAGTCCAGGCATTTGTGGCCTGACTCCACCAGATCATGACTTTGTATGTTATTTGGAGACAGAAACTGAATCTATAGGGGTGTGTGGGGGGGTATGCTTTTTGGCTTATGCAAATACATGCATGTAGGAGCAACACAAAGTTCATGCGTGTACACACACACACACACACACATACACACACACACAGGCACGGATTACTCAGCCTGAGGAGGTAAAATGCAACCTAGGGAAATAACAGAAGAAAGGGAAGGAAGTATGGGTAACAGTAAACAGGGGAACAGCCTGTGCTTGTTTGTTTGAGTAAGACATGTATTAGCGTATGCGTGTGCCAGGCCACAGGAAGGCATTTGGAATTAAGGCTTTGCAAAAAAAACAAACCAGGATTTTTGAAGAGGATTTGAAGGAAATAGAATGGCAAAATGAGTCTTTTGGATGAAAAGGGAAAAGTCTTCAGAAGATAAGATAGAGTCCCTTGGGAGATAGATAGGTAGGTGGGTAGGTTGGTAGGTAGGTAGATTGATTGATTTAAAAGATTTGTATGGCCACCCATCTTAGAGCACAATTCTTAAGTTTTTAACTTACAACTGCCCAACAGCTCACACAGCACTAAATCTCTGAGCAGCTCACAAAATTACTAAAACCATAAACCTTGCTTTATACCAGTTTTCTTCAACTTCTTCTTCAAATGAGATTACAATAGGTTCTGGAGAAAAGCCAAGGAATGAACAGCAATAGCAGCATTCATTCTACAGCAGGATTGTCTAAACCTAACAAGCCATGGTTTGCACAGCTCTTTCAACTCCTTACAATTCGGTGAATGGTTATTAAGCATGATCTGTGGTCAGGTCACTGGAGTAGCATGATGAGGTTTGCTGTATCAGATTAAGCTCAGAAAATGCGCAGGTTGCTATGAAACACCCGAGCATCTTTCATGACCTGTTAAATCAGGGATCCTCAACTTTGCTGGCTGAGGAATTCTGGGAGTTGAAGTCCCCAAGTCTTAAAATTGCCAAGGCTGAGAACCCCTGCGTTAGATACTGTAAATCATCTACTGCTAAAGAGGAAGTCCTTCATGTATGACCAAAATTGACATCAGAATTTTCATTGCTAAACAAGGTGGTTAAATGAGTCGGCCCAATTTTACAACCCTTTTTTTATCACAATTGTTAGTGGATCACGCAATTGTTAATAGAATCCAGCTTCTTCACTTGTCAGAAGCTGTCTGGGAAGGTCACAGATGACAGTCACCT